TACTCATATATCTACGGCCCAAACATTCGAATCATGCATAAGCTAGAAAGTCTCACCGATAACTTGTGCGAAGGGCAATGCTCTAAACACAATGAAAAACTTTACACAGCCAGTAAACCATCTCCAAGCTAACGGGTGCAAATTTAGCGGACGCTAATGATTCCGTTATGTTTTCGACGTGAACAAAACTTCACTTGTTAACGAAAAATTTTGTGATCTATTTTTATTAATGGTTTTGCAGATTCATGCCCATCTCCGCTTAAAATCGTTCGCTGAGAGTGAGAAAGTTCGCACTTGTTAGCAGCTGCTCTGGGCTATCGCACGGCACCCAAACATGGGGCTTGGTCGTCAGGGCCGTTTTCACACAAATCTCCACCGTGTGTTATTGAAAGGCGGGCGGCTGTTCTGGGCGTGGAGCGCAAAGTATCGCAAGCATTTGGATAAACAAATATTGATGATCGAGCTGGGCGAGTGGGACCGCTGGCGTTTCATAGCACTTCCTAAAGGCCATTGCACGACATACGAGCAACGGCAACAGCTTCCATCGCCGTGCGTTAGACATGGTCCTCTCACAGCGCAGTATTGAAACGGTGAGGCTGCTTCAGGAGTGGTGCGAAATGTACAGCAGCTTTTGAGAGAAAAGCATTGCGCCCGCACGTCATAGGCTGTTGTGCATCGTTTGACACTCAAACATCAGATCAGGAAGCCGGTGCACTTTCTATATGAAGCCTGCCTGAATGTAATTAACCCGCGCCTGGCCGCGGAGAAGAGGTTGACCTCCCCTCTGCGGTTATTAGGGCGCAGGTCAAAAACGAACGCCCGAATCAGCACGAAATGTTTAGTACCTGCTCATCTATCAATTTGACATTCTTTCTGCAAATTTGAAGTTTATCTACCAAGATCAGTGACCTGGGTCAGGTCAAAGAGGCCAACCTTTGCAAAAGTTTGACTCCATAACTTTCATATGGGTCATTTGCCATTGTCCAGACTTGCTATGATAAAAGAACACGATAGTATCTACAGTTAGTATCTTTCAGTTCTTTTTGGAACAGAAAAGGTCAGTGACCTAGTCAGGTCAATTTTTGGTATTTTGGTAAACAATGCAAATTCGTACGCATTTGAGGGGTAATTTTGCTGTTTTTTTATACGAGGTAAAGATTACTAACTCCATGCACAACCATCATATGACCACGGAGCACATGACCTTGGCCCAGGTCATGACCTACCTCTATGGGAACCTTCTTCAAAACGCATGCTGAACTCAAAATACACACCTTTATTAGCTAACTTTGTGCGCGGAATTCGAGTACTCCTTTGAAATCATGTTGTGATATCATTTAATGCATAATGATGTCACAGTATGTCGCATGAGGACATCCATGGTCATATGAGGTCATCTGAGGTCCATGACCTTTGTTTCCAGTGGTGGAGAGGTTAGATAAACGTTTGCGACGCTTGTAGCCACCTCCTTATCGTGCTTGTAAAGTTGATGACGCATAATTTCATGTACAAACGTACCTTTTCTCAGTTTGTTACAAATATCGTTTCCGACCACAGAAAAAACACTGCTGGTCACATAGACCCGGTTAGCAATTCAATTGTTTATTTGGCTGTTTTATAGATTTGCCATAAGTAAATCTCATATGACCTTCAGATTGGCACGAAGTAACACTTTTTTTAGTCTGAGGTACTTTTGTCCCACAGCTGCACCTCATACAACAAACTTGCTCAGAAGCAGGCATTGTTCAAAAACTTCGCCCTTGTAGGCTACCGATAGACCAATTTTGAACGGTGACCTGATTTGAGCTGACCTTTGCCGGAAACAGAAATGGTCGGAGTGGATTTTCCACAGTCTTAACGCTTATTTCCATGCCCTCAACATCCGCCTTGACGCGCTAACATAGGTTTCGACTGCATCTGTCAAAATGGCCGTTCTCGACTTTTCGTGTCCTTTGATGACCTCACTTTTGACCTGAGCTAAAAGTGGTATCTATTTTCATGAATTGAGGGGACCTTTATAAAGATGTCTTGCTTTTATCATAATTCGTCTGGAAGTTGGGTATCCCTGAGGGAACCCACACAACCCCCGGCCGGGAGCGGTTATTTCAGACTCCCGGCCGCGCGCAGGTTAAAGATTACAGAACGAATTACGATAGGGGGTTAACTTAACTGTTATTTCAACCAATTTGAAAACTAAAATTCCCTTCGCCGCTATGATCACAAGGAAAAAAGGATTTCGATGATATGTTTATTTGAAGACGCGTGAATTGTCACAAAGTAAACAAGTCGAAACGCTAATTATCCGAAGTATCACCAGCTGAATAGTCATATGCCCACTAACGATGCTGATGGGATTTAAGGCAAATGTCTGTCAATTAAACAAATAAATGATCACTGAATGGTGAATTAACTGAATGCCTTTTTGTGGCACTCAATTTCACGAACGGCAGTCACACGAACGTCAATTCGTCAAATGGTCAATGAGCCGAATTCATTTCGTCGAGATGAATTAGACCACAGATTGCGTTCACATTGATAACTGTGGGCGTGAAGCGTTACCAACATTGCAACAGACAGAAAAAAAACTTCGATCATTTGGCTTGTTTGGTTCTCGATGTAGCTGGACGTGTCAATAAAACAATAGCCTCCACCCTTTGACCGGGCATTGCACATTACAGATCATATCGGTCCATAGATATTAAAGCCTATCCGCTAATAGATCATTTTTGCTTTTTTCGCCACTATTCAACTTCGTTAAGTTAACGATCCATTTAGCGATTTATTTACCGACGAGTTCTGATTTCGCTGAAAACACATCAGAGCTCAACCGCGGCACGAGAACACCAAATCTGGTAGTCACGTGAACTTCGAAGTCAAATTTAAGGCCAAATGACGGCAAACTCTGTATCATCCAAAAGCTACCGGCTGACTTGGATTTCAAACATCAGAATATTCACCAGCACAGAAACTAGGGCCCGTGAAGAAGTCATGGCCTCTCAAGGTCAGCCTTCAAGGTTAAATTCAGGCTCATAGGACGAGGAACCTCATCCCATCCAAGACTTAACTGACAACTTCACGTTTTAAAGAATCCGAATTTTAGACAGCGCATGAACTAGTGTTAATCAAAAAGTCCCGGGCGACGAAGGTTATCCTTGAAGATTAAATGATGAACTCCACAATACACAAAAGCTTCCGGCCGGTGTCGGATATTAAGTATCATAATATTCACTAGCGCATAAACTAGCGTTCGTCAAGAAGTACAGACCTCCAGTCATCCTTCAAGGCCCCCTTCGAGCTCAAAGAGTGGGGAACTTCGGTGTCCCCAAAAGTTGCCGACTGATTTCATATATTTAAGTATAGGAATATTCACCTGCTGAAAACTAGCGTCCGTGAAAAACATCCTGACTTTTCGTCTCCCTTTAAGATCAAATGACACCAACCAAAAGCAAGCCGTCGAGTTCGGATCCTTTATCGTCAGGATCGTCTGCAGCGCGTAAGCCGAAATTGATCAGTACTACATTTGGGTGATAATTAGTTCCCCGTTATTTGAGCCCGAATTTTACCTTGACGGGGACCTTACAATGTAAAGACTTGTTCACAGGTATAAGTTCATGTGCTGGTGAATATTTCAGTGCTTAGAAATTTCGGAATTGTGCTGTAGCTTTAGGGTAATATGGAGTTTCCAATCCTTTCAGTCTGAATTCGGCCTTGAAAGCTAGCCTTGAAAGGTCCAAACCTTTTCACATATGCTACTCCATTCGCTGGCAAATATTCTGATGCTTAGAAGTCCAAAATTGGCCGGTAATTTGGGGGTGAAATTGAGTTCCCGTTACTTGAAATTGAAGCTGCCCCTGGGAAGTCACATCATATTGCAAACTAGACGCCAAACTCGGCGTTCTCGACCCTCAACCGACCATCAGACGCGTTATCAACGAAATCGGAATTTTTTGGTTCCTGAATCGCTGAAGAAATCGCTATCTTCACGAGTCCCTTCATTCAACATGTTGCGCCGTTATTTCGGCAGCATACCTAGGTCCCTCGGTAACATGACGTTGGGACCTTATTTGACCTGTCAAAAGTCACATTCGAAACTTTCGTCACACCGATCTGATGCACTTTGAACTGAGCTTTTCAATGTCGTCTTTTCCGTGCCTCTAATTTGTTTGTTTATGGAGATCAGAAAATGGTCTCTTGTGGCCTCCACTCGTAGGACAACGGTGAAAAAGTCCACGGGATGAGGGTTACGAGGTGGCCATTTTCATACGATTCCAACATTCTGACGCACAAATCTTTAACTTAACACCAATCAAGTAATAAGCAGCGAACTGAAAAGCATTTCGGCAAACTAGCACGGGACTAGAATACATTCGGTAGCGATCATTCATCCTAAAAAATACGTCGGTAAAAAAGCATGCGTTTAAAGAACATTTCCACAAATTGGCAGCCGGAAAATGTGCTTTTCGACTGAGTATTTCGTCAATGTCAACCTTCGACAAGACATGACGGCAAACCCTCACTAACTTATAGCATCGCATCTTATTAACACGGCGGCAAGATGATATTCAGTTTGGTGTATTCGACCAAACGCATTTTGGCTATTCGCCCGAATACCATCATTGAAAGACATGCGGCTGCTTTCTGGGAGGAAAACATACTACGGCAGCGTTTTAAAATCTTGTTATGAGCTCAGTTAGTGGGATCATGTGGGTATGACTCCGCGCACTGATTTAGGGTTGACATTATACCCGAACATCGCGCCCCAGCAGCCGGCGCCTTTTGTCTGAAGACTCTCACTGCGTATTGTTGAATATGGGGGGGGGGGGGCCCTCAGGGAGCAGTGCACAATTACGCAAACGTTGAGAAGACTTATAATCGCGCGTAGTGTGGGACCACGGACGTTTGACAATACTCGACATGTGAAACACCGCACGTCTATGACACATCGTCCCCCGCCCCATCAACCCCAGAGTAGGTGGATTTTGTTTCGTAAATCCAGGAGCGAGAAATGAGCTGATTATATTTTCTGCATCACATGAGCATATATTCCATGACTTAAACAGCGATAGGGTGCGCATCCTCCACACGGTAGGCAGGCCCGGACTCGAAACCACCAAGAACATATGCGGGCACTGCACTGCGCCCCGGCGGTCGGCGGCCAGCACGAGGAGGCCCAACCTCTCGCAAACACCTCGCCATGGCGACGGTAGCACTCCCTCGCCAGTGGCTTTGGCTCCCAATTATCGCACCAGACACGAAGCTCCTCACAATGCACGACTTCACCGTGCAACTTCACGACACGCACGCACACACGCGCGGGTAAATCCCGCCACCACCTGCCGGGTAATATCCAGCGGACCTCCAGCCTTTAAGTCTTAAAGTAGTAATAGCAGGAGCTAGCTCGGCCGCGCGGCGAACACCGGCAGCGCCGAGCACCAATCTCGCCCCAGACTTCGCCAGCTATGATCGATAACATGTCGCCCCCCTGGCGCCCCGGGCGCGCCCCTCGCCCCGGCGAGGCGGCTGCCGGCGTTCACACGCACCGGTCCACGCTGCCAGTCCACGCGGGTCGCTGCCGGCCGGCATCTGGCGCCCGCCGAGCCATCGGCCGCCGAGCCGCTCTAAGAGCGCGCGCCCTCCGCTCGCGTGACCTTCCGCCACTGCGGCGCCGCCCTCAGCCGGCCAGACCGGCGCGCTGGCGGCACTTCTGCATGGTGGCGCGCAGCATAAACTGCCGCCGCGAGAGCATGCGCACCTGCTTGAGAAACACGTCCAGCTCGATGACGCCGTGGCCAAGCGACTCGCCCAGGTGGTAGATGGCGTCCTGCGTGGCGTTCTCCTCGGCGAACGTCTGCAGCAGCCTGCGGGCCGGTCGCCGGTCAGCAGCGCGGCAGCGGCCGGCGCGCACGGCACTCCGACGTGTATACGCCGCTTCAAAAACCGGGGCCAGCCGCTTGGCCACCATGCTGGCTGACTTGTAACTACTGTATGACAGACTGCTGATGACCGAGACTGATGACTAAAGCGGTGGGAGTCTGAGCAGCTAGTCTCATATGGTCTTAAAGGGCGGATCTGGTCTTGATTTGTGCGACCAGGCCGGGGCCATAGCACGCCCAACTGCGATGATTGTGATTAAACACAGTTAGTGGGGCTCTTATCCATCGGCACTACCAGAGATCAAACTCCGGGCTTCCTACACGGGCATTGCCCCTTGTTGAACACCACAATCAATTGCGTTCAGACCACGAAGCAAACGAGCACAACAACAGCCAGTAGTGGCCGGCACTGCATGACCAATGAACACCCCACCGGCACCTCGACTGCTGAGGTCACAGCGGGCTCCACTCACTGTTTGTAGAGTGGCGCCGTGGTGATGACGGCCTCGTCAATGTCCATCTGGTCCTCACCCTCCATGCGCGCCAACGCCGCGTCCATCTCGGCGTTCTTTTCGCGCAGGATGCCGAGGCGCTCGTCCAGCACCGTCTGCCCTCCGGACATGCACGCGCGATCAAGGGCCCAGGTCGAACAGAGTCGGAGCTGGCGGCCGCCGGGCGGACAGAGGCGCCGGGCATGACACACGCGGCGCGCACGTACCGGCCACCGCTTACGTGGCGACGCACAGTGACCCCATGCCTATGGGCTGGACGACAGACTATTGTATCCTCGCTTGCCGCTGAAAAATTGTACGAATCGGAAGATCCTACGCTCACCATCACGAGGGAGTCAAATGGAATACGACGTACCGTCCGGGATTCGAACCCCGGTCCCTGAGCCCGACTCTCCCGCCCTGCTCACGGCGCTTTCCTTGGGCGGGCACACGCACCTGCTCCTGGTCCAGCTGGCGGAGCACGCCCTCCAGCTTGGTCTTGCCTTGCTGGAGGTCACGCTCGGTGCCGCTCAGCACCTCCAGCTCGGCTTGCGCCTGCGAGGCCAGCTCGCGCACGCGGCGTCGCACCTTGTCCTGCACGGCCGAGAGCAGCGACGCACGGATGTGCTCCTCACCGATGGTGGCGCCCCCGTCGAACACCGGCTGCCGGTCAGCGGGAGGGGTCACACCGGTGCAAGGTCACGCCTCGGGCCACACACTGCTGCCCTGTTGGTCACATTACGTCAGCAAGCGATCACACTCCCGGGCCACACAGCCGCCAGGTCACGGGTCACGGTCGGCGGGGCGTCACGCCCGGCTCCAGTCCGTTACTGCCGCCCCGCGGGCCAGCGCCAGCCTGTCGGAGACCACGTGTCGGCGACCAGGACGAAGGCGGATGGCGTGGAGCCTTCGACCTGAGACACAGGCGGCGAGAGTGGGTGCAGCACGAGCCATCTGACAGGCCAGGCACAGTCGGTACCGACGTCACACGGTCTGGATCACATGGTAGACAGCGCGTGCGGATTCCACCAGACAATCGAGCGTGTAATGGACGGCTGTCGCCAAAAAGGCTGCATGACATTATTGGCATCTGGGACAAACCCACAAAAAGAAGTGGCAGCGCGCCTCACGCCGCACACCAATGCATGCCGCCACAAACAGGCCCCGATGCGGCAACGTTTCCACAACTATGCGACAATTCTACGTGCGCATGTCAGCACTAGACCGAGACCTCCCCTCCCGCACGTTGCGAGGCTGCGCCGGGGCCGGTTCTGTCGGCCAGCTGCAGACCTACCTGCGCGGGCGTCGGGTACGGCGGGTACGGCGTATTGGCGGCGCCCGGGTACGGCGGGTACCCGCCCGGCATGGGGTAGGCGGGCCGCGCCGGCGGCTGTACCGGGTACGGCATGGCCGGCTGCGTCGGGTACGGGTACGCCGGCGACTCCGAACCCTGGTACCCTGGAGACGGTGCGAGAGCGAGGCATGACACTGCGGCACAAGCAGGCCAGCACCAATCTAGCCAAAGCGCAGGCTACCGGCGGGTCAGTGGGGGGGGGGGGGGGGGGGGGGGGGCGCTGACCGCAACTGGTCCGCTGCTCCAGCAAAACAGCTGTCAAACAGGCAACGTAACGTTGATCTTTATAATGGCGTACGTACCAATACAAAAAGACATGCAGCCCAACCACAAACGCAATACAACCATGAGCTGGCGGGACAAAGTGAACAGGGACGTTTCAAAGCCGGAGAAAACCCCGCAGCCCGACAGTACCTGACTGTCCGCTGTAGGCCGCGTGTGGATGGGCGTTCCTAGGCTTGGCGAACACGGGCGGCTTCTCGCTGAAGATGATGACGAGCACTTGGATCAGACCGAGTAGGTCGGACGAGCTCTGCAACGGTGTTTACGGTCAGCTGTGCGCAGCACGCCGGCGCCAGAGCAAACCCCGCTGTACACCTGACGCCGCTTCGGCGGAATCGATCCACCCTCTGGGTCTGATTTACGTAGAAAATAGAACGTAACGCTGAAACCACGTTTAATGTCGCAATTAGCCACCCAAACGGTGTCACTTACACCAAGAAGTCTGAGGTTACTTCCTGCGACCTGTAGCGGAGAAAGAAGGCCGTTCCAAACTGATTCAAGTTAAATGCATAGGCGCAGAAATGGGGGCACCAGCCAGTGACACAAATCAAGACCTTCACAACAGCATGCCATTAATAAAGCACGTACGTCTTCTCATACGGGAGACAACAGCTGGGTGACACACACACGCGCACGCACACACACACGCACACACACATACACACACACATTCGTAGTTAATCATTTGTCGAAAGCTGTCTGTGTTCCTTCTGACCTGTGACCAATCACTCAGGTACGGCAGGAAAACCTTGCCGTTGTAGTCGACATGCTGTGACACCCTGATCTGCATGTCTTGCGTGGGCTTGACGAAGCACAGTGGCGCCACTATCGGATGCTGCTGCATCAGCCAGACGCACACCGGGATATTGTACGTGCTGCCTGGAAACGTAAAACAATGCTGGCAACGACCATCCGACAGCAATCACAGCTGGGGTCCGATAGGGATCCACCAACCTGACTATAGCACGGACAACATTACGCAAACCAATAAGAGGGCACGGTTTTATCACCCGTACTTACTTACTCCTCACATCGACGCCTCCAATGTCATACTAATATCACTATCATAAAACGTGAAATAATTGCCTGAAGACTCCGTGGTCGTAGGGTTTATAAATGCGGACCACGCGGACCAATGCGATATGTATTTCCGTCACCTTGTGCTCTGTTTTTCCATATGTAAAAGCATAACAGTCAATGGCTCGGATTTGCTTGAACCAAACGGTATCTCCGGGCCCTGACTTATTCAGCAAAAAACCAGTGCGGGCGCCCTGGTCATGTCTAGCGGAACCCTCGCTGGCAGCGGGCGCCCCGGTCATATCCAGCGGAAACTTCGCTAACAGCGGGAACCCTCGCTAACAGCGGGCGCCCCAGTCATGTCCAGCGGAACCCTCGCTAACAGCGGGCGCCCTGGTCATGTCCAGCGGAACCCTCGCTGACAGCGCCCCGCGACTTGAAGCGAAATTAGCGGCGACAAACCACATGATCTGCATTAGTGCACCAAGGATGTGATGCTGAGGGTAATTTGTGAATAAAAACATGTGCTTGCCACATCAAAGGGCGCCACGATGATCTTGAGAACTGGATTGGATTGCAATGCATTGAACAATTATATTTTGAGTGCCTATCTAATACATAAATAGCTCTGTGGCGAGCTCATGCCAGCGTGGACGCCTTCAATATTCACACGCTTTGTATAATTTCCGCAACAGGGACCAAGCGTAAAAGACAAAAACTGTGCGTCATCGCTGATCCGAAAACACTGCACATACACAGATATGCAGTCAAATCTGGACCAAAATCCAACACTTACAGTACCATTCCATTCAAAATAGGCCATCCGAACTATAATTCTAGCGCACTTATAGCCATCACTATGCATGTACACGATACTTGTCCACACACAGACGGATGAAGTGGGTCAACGCCCTCTTTACGCCTTTCCCGAGCTTACCTTTATACTGCACAGGAATGGTTCCATGAAGACACAATAGCTCTTGGTGGGTGCCATCATTAAATACTGAAAAAGGAAAACAAGTTTGATGTGAATAATATATGAAGTGGAAGGGCAATTTTTTAATTACTTCACAAAACACGGTTCACCCCATAATTTTTTGTCATTAATAATGCAAATTCATTATGGCATGGCCTACCACACAAATGTCAAAATATGACCGTAATTCCTGTTGTCATGGACAATGCATAATCCAAAACTCAAATTAACATGGCATGGGCTACCATACAAGCATTAACATATCACCGCGGAAAAAATACCAGCTGTCAGGACTTCCACCAACGGTGAATGGCGTCGGTGCATTAGCTTGTTCAATACTTATTGCTTAGCTGAAAAGCGCTCAGTAATATATTTGTGATGAAACCAAACATGATTCTGAGCTATTTCAGAACGATCTTCTGCAATCGCCTCACACTGAGTCCACCAACATTCAGACAAAATTTCAGCACTGTATCCTTGTTATGAAGCAATCTTAACAGCATAGTGTGAACTATTGCCATTATGGCATCACATGAGACATTCACATTATACCATTAATGATACATGCTACAGATTTTGTTTGCATATGTCATCATTCCATTGCCGCATTTTTACATCAGGATCCAGACCAATACTAAGCTATGAGATGTAGCGCAAACTGATATCCAGTATTATATAGATATGTAGGGATCGAGCAAGGATAAATATCCATGGTGGAATTATGCCAGGAGCCATCAGGCACCAATATCCAAGGAAGATTCAAGGAGCCATCCATATACTGTGTGCAACCTTGTGTGCAGTTTTTATCATGAGCCAGTGCTTAATCACACAGCACATTTTCTGCATGTTGCACAAGTGCCTATTACAGAACAGACACAGAGTACATTTGGTTCTGGCAATATGTCTTCAGAAGCACATGATTTTAATCTAGTTGTAAGAACTGGTGGTCACCCATTGCCCAATATGAACCTAGGAGCAGGTGTTCTGTGAATGAACAAAAGTAAACCAGGAGCCATGTCAGGGCAGAGAGCCAGAGTTCCATCTGGTAATTCCAAGGATGCAATGCAAACCAGGAACCAGGCTGTCTTAGCAAAAGAACCAAAAGGATCTAGTAACCAGGTTATGGTGCAAGTAAATGAACTAATGGACACCTAGAAATCCGGGTTGTATTCTAATGAGAAAAAAATACATTGGGAACACAGAGCTTGAGTCTGGTGTTTATGCAAGGACTAATGAGATCCAGGAACCAGTGTCTAAGTGTTTACAAAAGCCAATAAAATGCAGGAACCAGGGGCTGTGTTTATAAAATAGCCAGCTGGAACTGGGATCCACAGTCTCTTTTCCATTACAGGAAACTGGAAACCAGAAGATGACATGAGGACCCAGGAAAATAGCTGCTGGCCTAGCAGATGTGTACACACTACCAAGATGGTAGTGATACTCATCATGTCATGTCCAACAGATTATTTTGCCCCAAATGCCTTGAAACTCACCAAAGTTGTCTAGTTTGCCCTGCAGTCCTCTGTAGTGGCGCAATGCATTCATAACATCACCTTTTGTGGTGACAGGATTCTTGTACTGAAAAAACACAACATTTGTGCAATTATTCCTGCCAGATACATCATGTAGCCCATGACGCATCCCACCCACCCACTCCACACAAAACATTACAAGCAGCCACATTTCAACATCACCTGGCCACACTCCACAGTTTGTGTTTTACAGCAGGATCTTTGGTCTCTGTGGTTACAAAGCTTGTTCTTACATTCAACAGGCATGATCAGTATTCACCTTTGTGAGACATTGCTGGATGTATGCTTCCTTTGACTGTGGCATCCTCCTCACCCACTCTCACTGTCTAGGATCAAAGACCAAACCAACAATGAACAGGGTGATCCCAAGAGTCAGAGCAGAATGTGCTCTTCTCCAAAAGGTGCAGTGATGCCACCCTGCCACACCTGCAATGACAGAAACAAGATGGTGAACATGCCTGAGGTAATGCAGTACAAAGTATATGCAGCCCAAGAATGAGCATGACTGCAAGACATTGTGTTTATTAAGCTCCTTTTCCAATATAATATAGGTTTCTTTCCATATGAGAGAGATGCAGATCCTCTTGTTGTTACTGAGATTGAAGGGTGCTCAAGCTTTGAAGGCCATTTCAGACACTGGACATGCTCTATGCAACATACATGTCACCACACAATGTGCTGAATCTGTGCTGGCTCTGTAGTTGGGAGCAAGTCACTTGCAGTTCAGCAGCAGATAAGCACTTGATAACATCAATAATGCCAACATCAGTTCGCCTTTCCCCCAAATACAGCCAAATCCACTTGGTGTCTATAATAAGCTGTTCTCCAAGCAACCTGAGTATTGCAGCCAATTTAATGCGACTGGTGATCATCAAGCTATAAGAATATGCATTCCTTTGCATTCCTAGAAGACAAGATATAATAAATGCCCTGCTAAAGGAGGAAGTGGCTGGATTAGGAGACATTACACTAAGCAATGATAATACCATGTATATGGCCAAGATTAACAGGAAATACACATTGACATAAAAATCATATTTTGAGTTGTCTCTCAAGATAGCTTATAGAATACACCACACTGTAAACACTATGATACTAAGCAGTGGCATGAATGTAAAACACTGAACAGTCCCTTTATAATAGAACATCAACTGGGCACTTATGAACCACATTCAATATTTTGATTGGGTTAGATTGTCTTTTAAGGAAACCTGGTTGTTTTGCCACCAGCCTAGATGATATCTGAAGGGCATAACCCTGTGATGCAGTCAGCTTCCATTTTAGCAAGGTGAATAAGCCTGTTACATGGTCATCCTCTATTTGGTAAGCTGGATAAGCCCTATGTGTGAATGTCTCCTGTTTTGAAGTGTTTATATATATGGATCAATTTTTAACATGACAAATATATATATATATATATATATATATATATATATATATATTTGCCACACTGCCTCACTAGAACAGCATTTATTTGTAACTGGTTGACTAGGTTTAAATTATTATAATTCTTGCTGGTTTTTTATTGGCAAAACTTTAAAATGTAACAGCAGAATGTGGCATTACGCTAGCATGGCTTGCAGATGTCCCATCATTACTTTGCAAGATTTTGAAAAAAACTCCACCACATGGTGGGGGAGAACAATATGATTGTGTCTAATATATCTGCCACAAACATTTCACAGTATGGCAAAGACATTAATTTTAACCATGCCCAAGAGATCCTGTGATGATACATACTGTCTGACACAGTACACCAGCTAGCATCCCCCTACTGCAGTACAGCATTGAATACCACTAGCCATCAAACATGTCAAGGCTGCTGCTTTCTTTGTATTGTATGAGTAATAATACCCAACACTGCATGCTTATCATATATGCCACCCACAGGTGTGTGAGAACATTAGGACCACTGCTTATTGCACCAGGTGTCTCTTGATGCCCATAACGAGGGACTTAGACAGGACTGTATACAGAAAAGTGGAGGGTCCGCAGACTGATGATTACATACTTGGAGGCCAACTCCAAGTTTTTAGTCCACCGCTATTCCCCTGGGGAAGGGGGGGGGGTCAGCTCTTCGTGACTACAGCCACTTTCTCAAGGAAGTGGGCAAAATTATGGGGAGAAACCTTCATGTTTGTTTATTTTGGGGGAAGGTTGGGTTATTTTTTGCTGTTACTCTCTCTTGCTCATTTTTGGAGATAACGTCCCTGCACCAATGTCAGTGACGTGCGTTCGCCCCCACCGAACCCGTCAGCTACACCTCGTCAGCTACGCCTCGCCTTCGTCCAAGCCCAAACTCCTGCAGTCGTCCCGTCGCTTCAGCGCACATAAAAGAGAGACCTACTTACCTAAAGATCTCCGAAACTTGGTAATTATTATATAAGTGAATATTTGAGGGAAACAAACACCCTAAATTACACTCCAAGGGTGGACGGGTCCAAGGCTATCTAACGGACGGGTCACAACAATGCGGAACAGTAGGATGGACAAGTGGCGCAGACCTGCGCCGTTCGTATCTGGTTCTCATATCAAGGCTTTTATAATAATTGACCGTGTAATGGCAATACATTTTACTAATTTGCTATTCGAATTATATCATAAATGAACATTTTGGCCTCTGTAAATGCTCTGAAAGTAGCAATTTGGTTCACTGCTTATGTTAGCTGAATAGATATAGAAGACATCATGAGTACAGACGTGAGAACATGAGTCATGACATTGAATGACATCACAGTTCTCGATGCAATGGAGAAAACCCGACCGTCAGATATTTATAACTGGAAAAAAGTTGTCACGCTGCAACCGTTGGTGAGTATGTTAAGATTTGTACCAATTTTGAAGTCACAAGTGGTGTTCAGCTTATCTCTGTTTTAATCTCGCCACAGCGAGAACCGTTGCAGGTGCACTACAAAGATGCGAGGGAACCCATGAGACCAGAATTTCTTGGAGCACTTCTGGAGTTTTAGCACATGGAGCACGTGGGCCTTTCATCTACATCAAAAGCCCTTTCCTGGATAAAGAGGTCAAAGCAATCCTGCAATCTCACCTGGTCCGCTATTGACGGGAGCGGTAGGCGCAGATACCAGAACGGGCGGAACGTTGCAGACGCGTGGTTAGACTATGTACCGCTGCGTGGCCTTCATTTCGCGACGGGGCGCGGGTAGTCACCGGACCGGACTGGAACAGTCTTACGTCCACTGGGTTCGAAAAGTCGGGACAGGCCTGTAGCATGCATGTGACGTCACATACACGAATGAACAATGCATGCATGTGACGTCACATGCACGAATGCACGTCACACGACAAGCACACTGACAGCAAACGCATGGTTAAAGACTGGTCACCAGGGGTGCCGAATACGTGACAGTGTTGGCCTTAATACCAAATTCGTGTGGAAAACGTACCCACAAATAAGATAAACGCGCGCAAAGGTTAGTCAGCAAATGCGCGTCCAGCAGAAAAAGTGCATGGCGAAAGGACGTTCGGAATAAACAGTGTGCAAACAGTTAACATTATGGTCGTCAATAAATGTTTGCACGATTTAAAGGACGCACGTGTAAAATATTCGCTTGGACAAAACTTCATCAGCAAAAAGTTTGCGTTGGAAAAGCTCGTAAGCATCTAGGGTCGCCCTACGCATGCGCGCACGTATGGATTGAATACATATGTGTCGCAAGCAGGCATACGCATAGAAAGCATGCGCTATTATGCTCTTATGCGCTTATTATGCGCTTATGCGCTATTAATGCTCGCAACGGATATTATTCGCTTGAGCTACGTGCGTAAATTGCGCACGTACGAAAAAGGTTCGAAAACATTAATAGCATGGTAATACATACGTATGGGCATGGGTGTTGATTTGTATTCTTTTGGGTAAGACACCACCCCCCTCTAATGTCCAATTTGCCCCCCACCCCACCCCAAAGTGATGAGTTAGACCCCTATCCTTCTATAGCCTAAGTAAAGGCAAGGTATTACAAATGGGAAATAAAATTTACAGGATTAAAACAAATCTTATTTTTCACAGGTGAAAGGAACAAGAAAAGAAGATTGAAATGTCATGCTGAGTTGAGTGCAGCTCACTAGGCTAGTCACATTGTTGAAGCTCCGCGTTACTTTGGTCTAGTTTTGTGCTGTTGCCTGAGTGCTTTGACATTGTTCAGCGATGTTCCTTGGCCTGCAGACCGCAGGAAGTTGCATTATTTTGAATGGCGTCTTATTGAAACATAAAAGCAAACTGGCTGACTATTTGTACCCAAACTATGATCAGGTTAGAAGTCGCCTCTGTTCGAAAGAGCCCTTGAAATGTGCCAAGCCCCCACTTCTTCGACACCCCCGCTCACACCTTTCCCGTGCCTGTTTTACAAAACTACGCCCTTTTTTATCTGTCTTGGGGTAAAAAAGGGAGTGATGACCATCGCCTATGTGCTGAATATATATATATATATATATATATATATATATATATATATATATATATATAATATTACACATATATATATATATATATATCATATGTTGGCTAACCATAAAACCAAAATGCTTAATGTATGAAATCCAATAAGTTTTCGTACCTCTACCCTCTACCCTTAAACACCGTTCTGGTGAGCCGCCCGGACCCCTCATCGGGCCTCATCGAAAACTTCCTTTGGTCAGCTCAGGGCCATTGCCAGCACAGGGCCCTCTGTAGGGCGCTGTGGGCCTTTGATTTGTACAAGGCCCCGACCGGCGTTAATCACTGGCCCCGGCTTTAAAGCTGATTGAGAAGTGGGTGCTCAGGCACATACCGACACAGGGCCGACTATGTGGCATGGTGGATACCTGACCGACATGTAGGCTCATATCGACTCAGGTGGTCCCGAATGGGCGCAAGGGCTCTCTGACCGTTATTTGAGAGTCCATCTTTGGAGTTCGGGCCCCTAAATAAGACTCCGATCAACCCTTTATGCTCTTAGACCCTCCAATTGGGCCATTGGTCTTCGGACCCAGTGGACCCTCACTAGGCTCTTCGGGCCTCCTCGAACACTTCATCTGGCCGACTAAGGGCACCTTGACAACACAGGACCCCTGTTAGGCGCTTGTGAGGCCCTAAGCAACGTAAATGCCTGGCTCAGGCTTTGTCTGCTGTGTGATTGTTTGTTCGGTGTCTGACCAAAATATAGGCCGTTATCAGCTCAGTGGGCCCCTGATCACCGCACAGGGCCGTCTGTCTGGCATTGGAGTCACCGGCCCTGCGGGCCGGGGCCCCTGAATGAGATATCCGGCTGGCCTTTCGGGCCCTTCGAGACCCCAAATTGGGCCCTTAATCATAGGTTTCTAAGGGCCCTTCGGGCCCTCGAAACCTAAGGGAGGGGAGCACGTGGCACTGTGGCCTTACCTCTGCCTGCGCTACTGAGAGCAGGGGCTAAAAATATGAAGAAATTGTATTGCTGTAAAACGCACGAACGAAAACAGCAAATGTCTGCGCTTGGGCAGTACAAAAAAAGTATATGGCTTCATGACATACATCACAACTGCTGGTGTGTCCCATCGAATGGTGAAGGTTTGGAGGCGATCAGAACAGTAAGCTCTGAATGTGTTGCCTACAGGCAAAATTATGAAATTTGTGAGATTCGACGGCCTTTCTTGTTGTAAGGTCACTAAATATTCAACTGTAGCGGGAAATCAGATATTCACCACAGCGCAGCCAGCGGTGAAGGTTTCGCTGCGATCAGCTGGTAGTCTCCGAGAACTGAGTCGACTGCAAACAATAATTTTGGAATTTGTCTTCATGACTTTTGACGTGACCTAGGATCACCGAATTTACAGGCTCGAGAGGAAATCAGGAATGGCACATCGAATGGTGAAGGTTACGCAGCGCTCGGCGCAGTAGGTTCCGAGATCCTTATCTGCTTTTCCATGGGAAATTTCCATTCGCATTTATGAGGTGTTTTACCCCAATTAAGATCTTGATATTATGACCCGTTACTCACCTTGTTCCATAGAATCGGTTGAGGAAGGTTTCAAGACAACTTAAAGAATTGTTACGGAAAACGAGCGTGCCTGCTTCATATGTCAGCTTTTTAGTCAGTGCAAACACAAATAAAATACAGAGCCTTGTTGCAGGTTGCAAACCGCGAGGGCGGGGAGGGTGAGTGGGCATGGTGCCGTGGCGTGTATATTATTAGCCTTCGTACTCTGAGCCTCATGAACCGGTATTGGTAAGCTTATCTATATTACGGTACATCGCCACCATTCAGCGTTTTCACCACGTAAATCGGCGGTGCGCAACGGACGTGCCGTTTCGAGGCATTTGCTTTACCGTGTGCACGCACGAGCTGTTGGGCTCTAAATGTGTGAGACCGGGGTGATATACTGGGAAATCTGCTCATGAATTGAATACTTTCGAAATGCGTATATAATGTGTGTGCATATGTTACATGGAGAAGTGCGCACCGTTTCGTGGTGGCGAATACCAAACCTATTGCACGACTACCGAAATCTATGAAAAACAAGCAAAACGCTCTGAAAAACCGCTTTGTGGACTTCCAAAAAACATACCGGAAGAAACGAAGTTACATGATGTTATGTCTTCGCCTGCTTGTGGCGCTGTAGCAGCCTTTCGCAAACGCTGACAATGTGCGTATACCTATGCGTAGGCGCGCCAAACACTGGGTAATCTGACAGGTTAATGCAAAGCCTAATTTTTAAAGCTATTCAGGGTGCGTGGGGTAGATACACTGTTCTAATCATGGTGGTCTTAACTCCAACAGGACTGCCGTGCGGGGTGGCTGTTTCCTGCTGTTCGTCTGCACCTTTCCCGTGCTGATCTGCTGGATGAGCCCGTTCAGCGTTCTTTGCTCCCTCTGTGTTCGGTCTGCACGCAACATGTCTTCGGCTGGCGGAATCGGTCTGAGCGAACTTTCCGTGGTGTACGTCACGGCGCCGTCCCATGAGGTGGCCAAGAAGCTGGCGGCGATGCTGGTGAAGGAGCGACAGCTGGCCGCCTGCGTCAACATCGTGCCGGGCTTGACGTCCGTGTACGAGTGGGAAGGCGTCGTTCAGGAGGACACGGAGGCGCTGATGATTATAAAGACGCGGTCGGCCCTGCTGGAGGAGCTGACGGCCGCTGTTGTGCAGCAGCACCCGTTCGACTGTCCTGAGGTACTGGCTTTGCCCGTGCAGGGAGGCAGCGCCCCGTACCTCAAGTGGGTCAGCGATACGGCGAGGGGCAAGCCGGATCAGTGAAGGGCAGGTACAGGTGGAACTCTAATTACGACTGCGGGATAGCTTCCCCTTCTCGCAATCTGGTCACCTGCTGGTGCGCTGTTACAGTTTGCGTTGTGTATGGTTAATTAATCTTCGGGAAGGTTGGTGCTCATTGACGTGTAATGGAATGTGGGTATGCATTTGTTGTTAAGGGAGCTGGTAAATGCCACAATGGCAAGCTTCACATTTTCCCGACGCCTAACAGTGATTTGTAATAAATAACCTTTGTAATTGTCTGGTTATTTTTCTGCAGACCACTTCGCCAACATTCAAAGTCCGCAATAAATGGTTCACTTTGTATTCGAAGGGAGTTACTCATCTGTTCGACGGTTGTGTCTAGGGGATGTAACAATGTCTGAGGGTTTGTGTGTGTGTGGGGAGGGGGCACAAAACAGGATTTAAGTGGTCAAACTGGATTTTGGGAACGCTGACATTTGACACGTTGATGGGGAGAGCGTGCACTCTACGTGAAAAATGCGGAGTATGTCAAGTAAAAATGAGCATAAATTATATGTAAAATAACGCGTATAAGTGAGCAACCTATTCGGGAAAATAATAAATATATGTACTTTGGTCCATAAACAACACATTATTCAATAGTCCGCAATGATAAACAAAATACTGCATATTGGATGCCTTTCTAGAACCATTCCCCTCAAAGACTATGTTTCCCAATCAACTGTTTTTGAGTAAAACAGAGTTGAGAGGTCAGTAACAAACTGAGTTGTTAAATGGGGGACCTGGCATATAACTGCGTTCGTTGCCGGAGGATATCATCACCTGAAATTTTATTTGCAGGGGCCTTGCAGCAGGGTGGGGGAGGAGAGGGAGCAGTTGCCCCGTACCTAACGGCAGCGGGCAAGAGTGTGTTTTGCCCCCCCCCCCGCAGGTTTTGGGGGCGCCTCTTCCAACTTAAAATGTTGTAGCTGTACGTGGAGTATCAAAATTCAGATCAAGGAGGCCCTCATAAATGAGCTGGAAAGTAAGAATCGGGCCCAGAAAACCCTTTGCTACAGCGAGATAGCGGTTTTCATGGACATAAGGTTATCTTCATGAATAAAGTAGCAAACGCTCTTGATCAGGAGGCCCAATGTTCTGTTAAGGAGGTCCCTTTGCTGGCTTGGAAGGCCCCCCGCTACGAACTAAAAGACGCCTGTTCTGGTTTAGGAAACGTCCTGTTTGTTCAGGAGGTCCCGTTTTTGAGACGGGGGGCAGAGCTCATGCATCGGATGATCACGGTTCGAGATCAGGATTCCCCGTTTTGGGATAGCGAGCCCACTTGGCTGAATTTGAAGGCCCATTCGTGAATCGCAAGCGTCCTGTTCTGGATGAGGAGGTTCCTCTGCGCATCGGGAGACCTTTTTTTGAGGCATGAGACCCTGTTTTAGGTTAGCCAAACTCTGGTGGATAGCAATAAGTCCCCAATTCTAGATTTTTTAGCTGCCTACATTTATTATTTAGAACGGATACATGTGACAGCGGATTAGGTAGAACATGCTTTCGGTGCCCCTCCCGTTGAATACGAGACTGCGTGGCAGAACTCATTTTATCCACGGACTCCCTGGAAAGTCCTGCCCCGCCACACAAAACCCGCGGGTACTGCCCTTGACTGCTGATGACATGTTCCAGCTTTGTGGCCCTGGCCTCTGCAGTGAGAAGCCGGCTCAACATTAAAAACAGGCAACTTTGAGGACCTGGACTTTTTATCTCAGTGTCATGACTTTGCTTTTATCACGATGTATTTTCAGGCGTGGTAAAGTGACTTTCTCTTAAAATGGTGAGTGCAATTTCGTGATTAGACATCTTCTGAGTGCAGGGACTAACTGATTTTGCCAAACCTACCTGAATGCCGATCGGTACACGATGGAACTGAGAGCTAGAGTACACGGAAAGAACCGCTATATTGCACGGATGATTTATGTTTGCAATATTCGTACATACCTTTGGCGTTTTGTTCACTTTTCAGACCGATGCGACCCTTTGTCCTTAAGAAGTAGTTACCCAGACGTGGCCACGGGCTCAAGCGACTGCTTGCCTGTTTCGAGCGAGTTATATTTTCAGACCGCCAATGCAAAAATAATGGCGTAAAATTCACTTGCAGCACGTGCCACGCGTTCTCCGCCGAACACAAACGCACGGCACTTCGCATTGCACATTAGGTCTGGCGCACGCGGTACGTGTTAACACGTGCTCGGGTGAGGGGGTCAATTTGACCCCCCGAAGGTTTTTCCGGAATAAGTTCCGAATAGCGCGGTGCAGACGGCGGTAAATTTTTGCCCAACTGTAGAAAATTGAATAGTGGATCGTTTGGTACAGCAAATTAGATGTACCGTGTAAGGCCATTGACCTACGGCAGGCCAAAGTCAGGCCATGGATTCAGCGAAGACTTTCTAGGGAATCGTGCAATCTAATGCAGCAGTGAAGTGTTAGACAAAGCTGCACATCTCTGTGATAGTTTTCCAGGCAACGCAATAACTGAATTCACGAGTTCCATTGACCCAGGGCTAGATATGAAGGTCAGACCAAGGTCAAAGCCAGCCTGTTTTCATTACTCTTGAGCTTGCTGTATGAGGAAGCTCCTGGTACTCATTGCGAATTTTATGAAAACAGGAACGATATTATGCATATTCCATGGACTTCTAAAATCTCAGATTGACCCGGGTGAACATTTTGTCTTAAGGCGTATTTTGCCTAGGATGTTATCCTTGACGCTTATTCAAATACAACAGTCAAAGCAGTCTTGTAAGATTTTGATCACCATGACCTTCAAGAAGTCACAAAAGGTCGTTGACCTTAAATAAGCGCCGTTGGCTTTTTACTTATAATAGGTATCTAGGTGCACGGTGGTTGCACGAGAAGGGCTGGGCACTTCGGACGCCAATTTTGGCTCTGATCTTGTTTGACCTTATTTGACCCGGAGACTATGACCTAGAACCTCAAATCTCGACAAAGGTGAGCTCACATACAGGCCAACACTCCCCGTGAGTTTGGGTGCCTCTAGCTCTCTTAGTTTCTGAGATCTCAAGGAACGGTCAAATTGACACCCACCCAAGCAAAGGGTATTCAACCGGCCACCCGTGCGCGTGTTAAAACATCACTCTCCAGCGGCCGGCATTCGGCCTTGCCAACGCAAATGAGCACGACAGGACGAGCGGACAGATCGACAGCCGAACGGACGTCGTCTTGGCTGACACAATTTATTCCAAAAGTCTGAAGACTTGGGCATGCACGCGTGCTCTCCCAGGCCATGGAAATGAAGGCGAACAAATGCCTGCAAAAGATGGTGGGCTACGGGCAAGGATGTCATTGCGCTATCTGCAGGTCTAAGCACTATTTAGACAGTGGCTGAGTGGGCGAAGCGAAGGGATGAACGCAACCACACAGGCCTGGCCAAATCTGAGGCTATCTTCTTCGCTTGCTTGCTTATTTGTGTGAATTTCGTGAACTTATCACGATAGTGAAAACGTATAGTGTCGATCAGTAGGGCACCACAATCGATGGCGGGTTTTTGCAGCACTTAACGTTATGCCCACGATTTAGTCATTTAAAACACGCGTGATCGGGCAGTTCAGCTTGAGGATGCCCGGCAAACACGGAACGTGAAATGTGTTATCACTAAAAAAACATTTCTTCCTTCATCCGTTCAAGGCGTACGATTCGGCACGCTTGGCACCTCTTTGTTTACGCTGCGTTTGCGCAATGTATGCTACATGCAGATCTGCCGTCCAAAGACAAAAAATGTTAAGAGCCATTGGTTTGCAAAGCGCTTAGGCTTTTTTGCCTTTAGATGGTAGATGTGTATGATATTGCCGTGGCGCCGCGAGATGGTAAGGGCACAAGACTTACGCTCCAAACCCAGCAGCGATTATTTCTAACTCGTGTTTCACCAAATCTGCGATCTACGTGTAAAGACTGTATAAATGAGGCACGAAACACAGCCTGGATGTCATGCATGCCTGTCTTAATTATATTGAGGCAACAACAGTGTTGTGTAGCGATTGGTATTTGCGAACTGAATATTTCGCATAACGTTTTCAAAAGTCCATGATTATCAATTAGGAAATGTTGATGAAATGCAAACCAGTTCAGATACGTTTAATGAGATTAAGGGCGTAGGAGGTCGTGCACAAACTTGCGCCACGCATCGAGTCGAGGCGAAAAGGGTAGGGGCGGGAAGGAAAGGAAGAGGGCCGTGAAAGGTAAACGAGGCGTAACAAAAAAATAGCATTTGTTAGAGAGCGTGAACGGTATGCTCATGTGGAGTTTCGAATCGTGCTGAAATCTTTAAAAACACGCTTTAGCCACATAACTAGGGTTAGGGATTCCCGTCCAGCGTAACCACCTAGTGGACAGTAGGATACAACGCTTAACACTGACTGGGAACGCGTAGAATAACTTGTGGACTACCTCCGCGCTCCGCCTGTGCAGGGGAGGATTACCGTTTACCGTTACAGTGTTTCACTGCATCATTGCATTACAATACATTTATAACCATATGCTCAAAGTGATACTTAGGAAATACATTGTCCTACGCGTTTAATCTGTGTAGGAGGCATACATAATAGGATTGCTAAAGTAACCTCGCCGAGGATTTGGTGGAAAGAAAATAATGTACTTGTGTGGCGTCTGAGTGATTGGAAGCCATCCACTCTAAACATGATGCTAGGATTTATCTATCCGCCGCAGCCCTAAGGTACCAGCAGCACATGAGGGAAGGGAAATCATCGAACTACAATATCTTGAACGATAAGTTATAAGTGGCATCAAACGCATAATCAGAGGGCACCTTGCAGGCCGACAGCCAAGATTGCCGAAGAGCAAGGCGTAAACTAGGCAGGCGTCAGATGGTGGCTTGCTGAGCGCCAGGAGAGAACAGGATGCAGTGATGGGTGATGAAAGCCACATCATCTGTGCTGCAAGTCGCACCGCCAGCTGAGTTCTTTATTGGGCCGGGTGAAGATATCTCTGATAAAGTAAGATAGTGATATACTGGAATGTTTCCGTGGAAGCTTCTCGTATGGGTGGTTATGTTCCCAAATGGGGTATCCAGGACGTTAAGAACTCCGACCCCGGTTGTTACGACCAAGGCCATCTGCTACCGGAAGTGTGAACACGAGGGGATGCTGTGTTCCCTGTCAAAAGCGTGTCCTAATGGTGGTCGTGTGTTCTGGCCGG